TCTTCGGTACGTCATGAGTATAGATGTTGTAGAGCAGGGGGGACTGAGGCTGACTCCTGGAGCACGCCTGCTACCAGCTGTCGTCGTGTTGAATGGCATGTACCAATCCTCACCGCGAACCGTCTTTGTGTTAGATAGCTCTGGATCAGTTGGCACATGTTTGCATCGGCGGTCCTGGCTGCTCTAGGACTCGTTCTTGGTGGCGGCAGCTGGCATCTTTGGCTGCCTTGGCGTCTCGTCTTCGGAGGAGGAAATTCGCACCCGCTTTTTTTTTTCCGTCTGGTGGCGACACTGAAATCGGTGTCGTCGTTGCTTGCTGTCTCTGTCGTGGTCCTATCCTCTTCGGTCCGTTGGGTGTCCTCTTCTTGAGCGTCCATCTCGTCCGACGTAGCCTGGTGGTCCTCTGCCTCGCCTTCTTCGGTCTTCTTTGCGGCCTTCTTCGTGGCCCTGCGGAGCTTCCCGTTCAGGTCCTCGATCTCCTGTTGTGCTTGCAAGAAGGCTTCTTGCAGGTTTCGCATCTGCTCTGCCAGCATGGCGACAGCATCTTTCTTCTCTTTCAGCTGGTTAGCCAGCTTCTCAATTTTCGCCATCGTAAATGACAAACAACCAATCTATCGCAATAAGATTGCTCAATATGTCCGGGTGTGTCGCAGTCGTGCAAGTATACACTCGCAACGGCTGCTAGCTCGGAACTGATGTTGCGCGCACACACACCACACACCCTCCTACCCTGTGCGGTCCCTCCACCACCCCTGTTCCAGGCAACCTCATACCCTTGAGGAGTGGGGGGAAGAGCAATGTGTGAGACAGAGAGAGAGGGGGGGGGGGAGAGGGAGAGTTAACGTGATTGTCGTTATAGACACTAGCGGCATTGTATGTAAAATTGCGTTGGAATAAAGTTCTATCATTCCGACAGTACCTCTAGAAAGTAACTATCCCTCCAAGGTATCTCCATATAGTCGAGCTCCACAACCCATCGATGCTAGGTAAACATAAAATGTTACGGTAAGTAAGAATTGGTATTATTTGTTGCATTTTCCATGTCACGATCCGTATCGTAGAAACGTAACATCACACTGTATCATGCGGTTATTGGGCTGTTGTTACTTGAATCCCAAACAGCATGAAGGAATATCGGCAAAATATTACGTGATTTTTTTTTTGTTTCCTGATCCGATGATCTCTATTTTTTCTTCAACAAACGAATTGTGTGGCCCTGAGAAGGGCCGATTTCTAGTTTTGACGTTATTTTCTTATTATTATTATTATTTAGGCTTTCTTCTCTGTCTTTTTCGGCAATAGGACAGCCTGAATATTCGGAAGAACTCCGCCTTGGGCGATAGTTACGCCGGAAAGTAACTTGTTTAATTCTTCATCATTCCTGATTGCTAACTGCAGATGACGTGGAATGATCCTGGTTTTTTTATTGTCGCGAGCAGCGTTGCCGGCCAACTCTAACACTTCGGCTGCCAAGTACTCCATAACGGCGGCAAGGTACACAGGAGCTCCGGCACCGACGCGTTCGGCATAGTTTCCTTTACGCAATAATCTGTGTATACGACCTACAGGGAATTGCAAACCGGCCCTACTAGACCTGGATTTTGCCTTTCCTTTCACTTTTCCGCCTTTTCCTCGTCCGGACATGTTTATTTGTTATTATTTTCTTTTTTGACTTGCGAATCGACGACTACAATCTGCTGTCGTTGACCGAATTAATAGAATAGAATGGCAATGTCTTTAGGTACGAGTATATTTATATAACTACTCCGACCAATCACCGTTTTCGTTTGTCGGTCACCCGTAAGGGGCGGAGTCTATGTCGGTAACGTCGTGGCTGTTAAAGCTCGCCGTTTATCCGCACACCTTTCCATTATAGATCACGATATTGTGTCAGTAAAGATCGTACTTTTTGTGTAAATCGAAACGCGATGCCACCCAAAACTAGCGGTAAAGCAGCTAAAAAGGCCGGTAAGGCTCAAAAAAATATTTCCAAGTCTGATAAGAAAAAGAAACGCAGGAGGAAGGAAAGCTACGCAATTTACATCTACAAAGTGCTGAAGCAGGTACATCCAGATACCGGTATTTCCAGCAAAGCGATGAGCATCATGAACAGCTTCGTCAACGATATTTTCGAACGTATCGCAGCGGAAGCATCCCGATTGGCACATTACAACAAACGTGCCACGATAACTAGCAGAGAAATTCAAACAGCCGTTCGACTATTGCTACCAGGAGAATTGGCCAAGCACGCCGTCAGCGAAGGTACCAAAGCCGTAACCAAGTACACCAGTTCGAAGTAATATGTAACTACGACGACAACAACAACATCAACAACACAACAACATAAAAACGGTTTCTTTTCAGAACCACTAAAGTTATCAAGTAAAGATAATGATATCACCGTACGCGCAACATATATATTATTGGTACTTGAATACCAGATGATTATTCGTGATATACATACACCACTAAAGCATAACGTCTGATATAAGACCCGACCGGATTATTTAATGGTAAACGAAAGCGTAAAAAAAGGGGATATCCTTACGACGCAATCGACTGTTTAACGTTCATTCGTTTAATTAAACACAATACATACTTATTTATACCCTTAAAAGCAAATATCGATGGTGACGACGCCTAACATTACCACTTGCTTATAAATACCTAATCGTAAACGAATAATACTCGAATTTAATAAAAAAAAAAAAAAAAAAAAAACAACGCACGTACGAGCCGCAGTTGTACATGTATATTTCGATACAAAATTGCTAATTCGTAAATATTCTGTATCCTTTTTATAGTAATAGTGGTGGCCCTGAAAAGGGCCATTTTCAATCCGCGGGGACGTATAGCATCCTTCCCTCGCATAAATATAACGTCTCGAACCGACGTAGCCGTAATCTACGACGTTGCAACACGTCTAAATTTTTTTTTTTATTTCTTCTTTTGGGTGAAGCGGCCTTCCTTTTTGGCGATGTTGCAGCCTTCGCCGTTTTCGGTTTTGGTGCTTTTGGCTTCTTGGTCGGAGCTCCCTTGCTGGATTTCTTCGCCTTCGAAGGAGATTTTTTTGCAGCCGCTGCAGAAGGTGCAGCAGAAGAAGCTTTAGCCGACGTCGCCGATTTCCCACTTTTCTTTGTCTTAGCTGGAGAAGCTTTCTTCTCGGCCGCACCACCGGCCACCGCCGGTTTCTTAGCCTTCGGAGATGCCTTCTTCGCAGATTTCGCACCGCTAGCTCTCTTAGCTACGGTTCCGCTCTTCTTTGAGCCGGTCGCGGATTTCTTCTTCTTTTCGCCAACCTTTGCGGCTGACGATGATGAAGTTTTCGACGCTCCGCCAGCCGATGACGAAGCTAGCTTGAACGATCCGGAAGCTCCTTTGCCTTTCGTCTGTACTAAAGCTCCAGACGCGACGGACGATTTTAAGTACCTCTTGATGAAAGGCGCAACTTTCTCAGCGTCTACTTTGTAATTAGCGGCTATGTATTTCTTGATAGCTTGCAGAGACGACCCGCCACGCTCTTTTAATCCTTTAATTGCGTTGATGACCATTTCGCTAGTAGGAGGATGAGACGGCTTCGCCCTCGGATTCTTCGGTTTTTTCTCCTTTTTCGCAGACGACTGCGACGTCGGCGACGCAGAATTCGCGGTAGCCGTAGCCGACGCGGCGTAATTCTGGTTTTCCGTATCTGCCATGTTTACGAGTCGTGAAGAGGAGACAGATTATTGTATACGCGCGATCTTTTGCAATCACTGATCGACGATCTCGCTAAGAGAACGAATGTCGAATGAATGTGAGAGGTAAATTCAGCGTCGTGACCCAAGTCATTTCGGTCGGACCGAACATTGAACGCTCCGACTTTGCAGCGAAACCGATTTCGACGGCTTCAATTCTGCCAAGCCTGCGGTCGTATCTGTTGGTTTTTTGAGTCGCTGATATAATTGCATACGAGCAACAGCTAAAACCTGAACGAATATGAAATCTGCATAATTTGAAATACACATTTAACTTCGCGACTTGATCACGTACGCTACGTACACGATAAAATTATAAGGTGAAACGTGCAAGGTATCCGCTTTGGACCTAATCGTCCGGCTTTTTGATCTAATTTATATTATACGAATACGTTATATAATTAGATATTTCATGAAATTAACAATCTACGACTATTCGTAATACAATTATACTGTCGGTATACGGCTAATGGATAAGGTATTTTAGATAATCGCAATTATACGGAGGTATGTCTGGCGTACATCCGAACGTGCACAGTCGCGAAATATATCGCGATAATTTTAACATTACTCCTGTAATATGACAAAATAGATAATAATATGAGACATCAATCTATTATTCGTAATAAATAAGCCAGAGTAGAAAAATATTATATATAATATACGAGCGATCGAGTTATAAATTCATCTCTTACTACATATTAATTATTAGACGTACGCATTACTGACTTTTGATCTACGTGAAAGTACCTAATGTTACGTATTACACGCTAACAGCCTGCCTAAACGCCTAAGCAATATATACGGCAAAATATCTATATTATGTCGAATTATCTACATTATAATCACATGCTACTTATAAGTTATTTTACTTCCATACACATACATACAATTCGTACGTTATTAGAATAATATCAATGTAACGGTTTACTACAAAGCACCACAATCCTTCGATATAGGATAACGGGTAATAACTAGCGATTATCGTATACCATTTAGCGCTATTTTGCATACACGATAATAGTGTCGAAATTGCACGCGTACAACAACAATCTGATATACTTAACATAATACACGATCCCCTTTTTCTGAACATACTATATGATGGTTCTGAAAAGAACCGTTTTTTTTTTTTATAACCTATTATCGCACGCCGTACTCTCTCTCTCTCTCTCTCTCTTTCCGGCAAATAGTAAATCCGTCAATTCCATTAGGCACGTTCGCCCCTAATACGTCTTGCCAGCTGTATATCTTTCGGCATGATCGTTACTCGCTTAGCGTGGATCGCGCACAAGTTCGTATCTCGAATAGTCCGACCAGGTACGCTTCGCTAGCTTCTTGGAGTGCCATTACAGCAGAACTTTGGAATCGCAAATCGGTCTTGAAATCTTGCGCTATTTCACGGACCAGCCGTTGGAAGGCAATTTTCTGATCAACAATTCGGTACTTTTCTGATAACGACGAATTTCTCTGAGAGCCACAGTTCCCGGACGATAACGGTGAGGTTTCTTAACTCCGCCAGTAGCAGGAGCACTTTTACGGGCAGCCTTCGTGGCTAATTGCTTCCTGGGAGCTTTACCTCCGGTGGATTTACGAGCCGTCTGCTTGGTTCGCGCCATTACGTTAAATTTCAGATAACTGAATATAAATTATCTATATAGCAGCGACGTGAATATTGCAACGGACAATATTATAGTGAGCGGAGGTAAACACCGCGAACAGTTATATTTATATGGGCTCGAAATACGAAACAGTCTGATTGGCCAATTGATAGACCAATAGGAGGGACGACAACGCTAACAAAACCGGGCGTCACGAGAGACGTACCGTCAGTTGGCAACAGCCCGTTCGCTTTAACAGTTCGACGTGCGAGAGAATCTTGAAAAATGACTGGACGCGGTAAAGGTGGTAAAGGATTGGGAAAAGGAGGAGCGAAAAGGCATCGTAAAGTTTTGAGGGATAACATCCAGGGAATTACGAAACCGGCCATAAGAAGATTGGCGCGACGTGGAGGAGTAAAACGTATATCCGGATTGATTTACGAAGAAACTCGAGGAGTGCTCAAAGTCTTTTTAGAGAACGTAATCAGGGATGCAGTCACTTACACCGAGCACGCTAAAAGGAAGACTGTCACTGCAATGGACGTCGTATATGCATTAAAGAGACAAGGACGCACTTTGTACGGATTCGGTGGTTAAACACTCCGCAGCAATTACCACGGTACAGGTTGAACGAAAATACAATACAAAGAAAAAAAAACGGTTCTTTTCAGAACCACCATATACTCTCGTGAGAAAGAATGGATCTGCCGATTGAACCGCCACATTAATTTTCTATTTTTTTTTATACAAAATAAAAAGAAACACTCACATAAATGAGTTATCGGAATATGAGAAATTGATCGACTTATACGTTTTGGCTCTTTGAATTACAATAATCGACGATTTCGGTCCCGATATGTCCCATTATCGAGATACCGGCGAATATTAGACGTGAATGCGACGATGAGATGCCCTCGATTAAATAATTTAGTTATTGCCAACTTCTCGCGCCACAACCGATCCGATATCACCCTGAGAAAATTTTTCCATATACAAATGATAATCCCTTCATTTTCTTATTAAATTACTTGTTGGCCCTGAGAAGGGCCGATTGTATGTTCAGAAGATTTTTTTTTTTAGGCTTTCTTCTCCGTCTTTTTCGGCAAAAGAACAGCTTGGATATTAGGGAGAACTCCTCCTTGGGCAATTGTGACGCCTGAAAGCAATTTGTTCAATTCTTCGTCGTTTCTGATGGCCAATTGCAGATGACGTGGAATAATACGGGTCTTTTATTGTCGCGAGCAGCGTTGCCTGCCAATTCCAAAACTTCAGCGGCCAAGTATTCCATAACGGCCGCTAGATATACGGGAGCTCCGGCACCGACGCGTTCAGCATAATTCCCTTTTCGCAATAACCTGTGGATACGACCGACGGGAAATTGTAGGCCGGCCTGCTGGATCGGGACTTTGCCTTTCCCTTAACTTTACCGCCTTTTCCGCGTCCTGACATATTCAATTTGTTAATCTGCTAAACGAACGACGTCGACTATGAACTTGCAAATGCACAACATGATCTCCGCGAACGTTGTATTTATATGAACTAACCGACCAATCGACGCGAACGTTTGCCGGCAAACGCCTGGGGGCGGAGTCTACGGTCGTAACGTCACCTGTCTTAAATACGGCCAGAGAATTGCAGTCGTTCCTTGGATTCAGCAGCCAACCACCGAGGATAGCAGACGTGACCAGTGAGACCGCAAGCGACAAGGCGACACCGAAGCGACGACGCGACACAGCGACCGATCAGCGACGACGCGACAGCGACGCGATCGCGACGCGACGACGCGACCAACGCGCGGAAACGCGGAAACGCGAGTGAGACACCCACTCGATAAGGCAAAGCCTAAATCGGGTGGACGAAGAAACATTACACAATTCCCATCTCGTTGGGAATTGTGTAAAAGCGCGACTTTGCGAAAACAGACGCACCAAAGTGGGCCGACAAACCCACAGTGAAGTGTAGTGAAGTGCAAAGACACTAGTGAGTGAGTGGTACACAATTCTCAGAGTGCGGCGACAACTGAGAATTGTGTGAAAGTGGGCCGACGAAGCCACAGCCGGAGTGCAGTGAGCCGAGAAGGCACCAGTGCGCGAGTGATACACGTTTCTCAGAGTGCGGCGACTGAGAATCGTGCAGAAGGGAGCCGAGAAGGCACCAGTGCGAGAGTGATACACAATTTCCAGAGTGCGGTCACAACTGGAAATTGTGTAAAAGTGCAGTGAAGTAAATCGAACTCGGAAGAGTCGATGGTGGTGATCGAGCGCGACACCATAGATAAGGTGACCAAGATGCTGGACGACGAAAACACGTATTCCTCGTCCAGCGAAGAGGAGGAAGAGGTCCAGGAAGAGGAACCTCGACCAAACAGGATGGAAGAGGAAAACCGCGAGCTCAAGAGGCAGATAGCGGAACTATCCTGCCAGCTAGCGGACCTGACGCGTCAGCTACTGGAGGAGAGAAGGATAAGCGCCGAAGAGCGCGAGAAGACGGCCAAGCTCATCGAACTTATGGCCGCAAGACAAGGGATTGAGATAGACGATCCCAAAAAGAAGACTAAGAGGAAGGCCGATAAGACCGAGGAGGTTGACGAGAAACCAGCCTCCAAGAAAGCGGCAGTGGACCCCTTCCCCCCGCTCCCGAAGAAGAAGACAGTGGAGGAGAAGACCACCCCACCCCCCCCGTCAACCACCGAAGATAGGATGGATACCGAGCAGGCCCAGCCAGCTCCCAAGCCTAAAACAAGAAGGCCGCCACCCCTATATATACATAGGGAAGACCAGTGGCAAACCATGAAGAAGGGAAAGAAGATCCCAGCCGACAAGCCGGCAAAACTCACCAGGACGGGCATAAAGGTCCAACTGACGACTGAGGATGAATTCCGAAGCGTAAGGAAGACGCTCGAGGAGAACAAGGTGGAACACCACACCTACTCCCTGCCAGACGAGAAATCCCTGTCAGTTATCATCAGGGGCATGCCACTGATGACGGGGGAAGACGAAGTTAAAGAGGACCTGGAATCTAAAGGATTCCACCCAAGAAGAGTAAACAGACTCACCAGCAGGCGAACCAGGAAGAAGATCCCGCTGGTCAAAGTGGATCTTCCAAAGGAAGAAAGAGGATTTACGATCTGACAGAATGCTGTCAGATGATAGTAAAAATCGAGGCACAGAAGAAGAGAGAAGGACCGGGCCAGTGCTACAGGTGCCAGCAGTTCGGGCACAGCCAGCAGAACTGCTCCGGGGCACCGAAGTGCGTGAGATGTGCAGGGGCACATCGCGCATCGGAGTGCAAAGTGCCGCAAGAAAGAGCGGCAACCTGCGCCAACTGTGGTGGGAGCCACCCAGCAAACTACGGGGGATGCCCAAGACGCCCAAGCTCAAAACCAAAGAGCAAACCCGCCGCGGAGAAGGAGAAGAAGAAGATCACGAAGCCAGCCCCAGTAAGACCAGGACAGAGCTACGCAAGGGCTGCAAGAAGCGACGAGACGGCACCCCGAAGGCAGGAAAGACCCTCCACAAACCGGGAAGAAGAAGACGGGGATGAACTAAAGAGGTTCATGGAAACCCACATGGCCCAAATGAAGAGGCTCATCATGAATACCCCCGAAGCCAAGGAGGCATTCATGACAAGCAAGAACAGAAGAAACGCCAACTAAATGGGCAGCCTGCCAACATCTAGGACCCTACGGATATTGAGTTGGAACGTACATAGTGCTTCCAACAAGAAGTACGAGATAGGAGAACTGCTAACTCGAGGGGACTACGATGTGATGGCGTTACAAGAGACAATGCTCTCAAGCAGAGTTCCAAACTGGACCTTCCCAGGGTACACGACGTACAGGAAGGACCGAGACCAGAGAGGCGGAGGCGTGCTGATCTCCGTAAGGAGCAGCATCAGCCACGACCTGCTAGGAATCCCCGATCTGAGGACTACAGAAGCAGTAGGAATAGCCGTGTACACGGAGGACTACGGCACGCTGAACATCATCTCGGTATATATACCACCAACGGTGACTCTGCATATGGACGACATCACGCAAATCAGCGGAATGGGCGAGAGCATTGTCATCATAGGAGATCTGAACGCCAAATCTAGGATCTGGGGCTCGCGCACGAACAACAGACATGGCGAAATCCTTGCGAGGCTGATGGATGAACCGGAGTACTCCATACTAGGACCTGACGAACCCACGCTGTACCCAGACAACGGTACAAGGCCTGATGTGATAGACATTGCTATCTTGAAAAAGGTAGACGTGTCTTGCAACATTGGTGTTCTGCAAGAAGGAAGCTCTGACCACAACCCCATATTCCTGGAAATAGGAGAGGGAGCACCAAACGTGGAGAAGAGGATAGCCAGAAGAGTGAACTGGGACCGGTTCCGGCGAACCTTTCACTACTCACTCGGCCCACTACCTCAGATAGAGACTCCTGAAGGCATAGAGGAAGCAGTTCAGGGCCTAGAACGGAAGATCCAGGACGCGCTAGATGCTACTACCACGGTAGAAGACATCACGCAGCCCAACAGGTTCAGAGACCTACCCCAGAGGTGAACCAGAAGATCACCGACAGAAACAGGGCAAGAAGACTAGCTCAACGAACAGGAGACCCAGAGCACAAACGAGAGCTAAAAAGGAAGACCGAAGAGATGAGAAAAGCCCTGATGGAGCACCATCAACGCAGCTGGCAAAGAAAATTAGAGGAACTAACACCAGGTGAGCCAGGAATGTGGAAGCTAGCGAAGATCCTGAGAAATCGCAGACAACAAGTTCCCCCGCTGCAAGGAGCCTACGGGACCGCGTACACGAACGACGAGAAGGTCGAAGCATTCGCAGATAACTTACAACGGCAGTGTACGACATACATGCACCCAGATGAGGACGAAGACTTCGTAGAAGAAGTGGAAAGAAGATCCAGAAGAGCTACGAGAGGAGGAGAAATGGTGCAGCAAGCCACCTCCCCGACGGAAATCAGGGACATCATCAAGACCCTCAAGACCAGGAAAGCAGCGGGCTGCGACCGAATAGGGAA